GCTCGGGCCTCCCCCACAGCCCTGGCCCGGGATAACGGGCCGGGGCATGGGAACGTGGGAGACGCCACCAGCCCGCGACACCCCGCCACATCCTGTCCCCATCCAAGGGGAGAGGGTGCACCCGGGGCCAGGCTGGCATCTCATAGGCCCAAACCCAGCAGGACCCCAGTGGATCAGGTACCAGTTTTGTTTTCAAGTGGAAACAAGCATCTGAACCTTTTTATAAAAACAAACCAAACCAAAACTTTTCCACTGGGCTATTTCAAGTCAAACTATCCGAATAAGAATTGCTGTGTTCCTGCCTTTGTAGGTTATGCGATAAGTGCGATAATTCTGAAGGCGGAACATTAAGGTTTTAAAAGAATTTTCTTTGAATCATGTGGAAAGTATGAGGGAGTTTTTGTTTTCCCTCCCCTGAGTGTCAAAAACCAATTATCTGAAGCGTGAGGGGGGATTTTTAAGGGAAATGTGATGTTGCAGGGGCGCTTGAATTTGGACAGGATCAACTAATCAAGGCTTGGTTCTTTTATTTTGCCTGGCATGGCAAAAACATTGTAGTTATTGAAAACTGGGATAACTTAGGAGATGTTAGGTGGTCGCTGTTTTTACCATTGATGGACTGAACTGTCAAAAGGAGATTGGATTACCCGGGACACACACGTTGGTTGACGGTTGACTGCATCCTTTGCAGAGGGACAAAGGGTATTTATATGTATAACATTTTACCCATAAAATATCCTCAGGGTTGTAGAGTTGACAAAGTTGTTTCTCAGAACCAACAACAGATAGTTAAATGTACTGAATGTGCAGTTTGTAAATACTCACTGTAGCTATGGCAGCAGTTTTATGTTTGTTTGTGAATGTTGTTCTTCAGAAAGGGGCCACTTATTTTGAGCCTATCCTGGCACTCACTTTGTAGACCACGCTGGCCTCAACCTCACAGAGATCCGCCTGCCTCTGCCTTCTGAGTGCTGGGATTAAAGGCATGTGCCACCAACCCCTGGCGAGGGGCCACCTTTTAATATAAAGATTCGTAGTCCAGGAGCTGCTTTAGAGTAGTCCTTCTTAGGAATCAACAGATTCTAACATCATTTTATCAATGGATTTCTAAAAACTTTTGGGCTGGGTGATAAGGGACTGGCTGTTCTGAAGGGAATATATGACTGATTGTTTATGTCTGACATGTTGACTTAATGCCTGTGGCCAAGCCGACTCTGAAGACCAAAACCAACTCTACTGTGGCCTCTTGCCAATTTTTGGAGTACCGAGTTTATATTTGGACTATTTAAACATAGTTTTAAAAATTTGTTCCTACCTGATGTTCCAATCAAATTTCTGATGCTTTTAATAGTTCCCTATGTGGATGTCCAGAATGTGTGTCTTTTTTTTTAATATATTAAATTCAGTAGCTCTATGCCATTTAGATTTTTGTCACAGTGTGTAAACTGCCTGTTGGATGAGGTTGCAGAATACAGTGTCACTTAGAGTTTGAATCAAAGCACTGTCTTCAACTTTTAAAGGTACTTGTAACCAATTCTTTGGGCAGAAGTCCTTGCTCTTTAGCTACAGTAGTAGGAATGTCTAACACAAAACATGGTGGGATACCCCTCACCCCAACACTCAGAGCAGGGGCAGGCAGACAGGATTTTTGAGTTTGAGGTCAGTCTGGCTTGGAGAGCCAAGTTTCAGACCAGTCCTGGCTACATAATCAGCCTGTCCAAAAGGAAAAAAAAAAAAAAGTCTAAAAACTATTCCCCAAATAGAATTCATCAGTTTTTCCAATGTATTTTTTTCACTTAGTAAGCATAAATTATTAAACCATCAGAAAACAATGTTAGTAAATAATGCTTTTGAGCTCCATTATAACTAGTCAGAGCCCTTTGATTTTTATTCCCATATAATTATATGGGACATTGCAGATTTGGTTGGTAAATTTGGTTCTAAAAGTTTAGCTGCTTTTTCTGTAAATGCCTTCTAACTACAGGCCCCTAAATTACTTGTTTTGTTTGCATAACCCTGCAGAGCCACCCACTTCATTCCTTCAAACATCTGCGAGTCAATCTTTGGCTTGCTACACATGTTAAACTGGTCTACAGGTAGTCGGGGCTGATGGGCGTGGTTTCAGCTTTGGGGAGCCATCTGCCCTCAGGATTGGCTTGACAGAAGGCACATGCCTGACCAGAGCTCCTTAAAATTCAGTTGTATATGCGTTCTTCCCCTTAAAAACGAGCTGCTGTTTTTGTCACTGACAAATGCCTGCCTGCCCTTTGTAGGTAAACCGAAGCCTCTGACTCAGTCTGATAACTTGGTTTTGGTATTTGGGTCAAGGAAGATATCGGAGTACACTCAACAATTCCTGCCCTTAGAAAGCCCGTTGCTAGTTACCTGGGGAACCTTCCAAATGAAATCCCCTAGGTAGAGGCATTGCTTTATAACCCTCCCTCCCAGAAGACTCGGTCCTGTTTACCAGTCTGATGTCTTCACAGTTAAACGTGCCTTTGCACAGGCACCCGGTGAGCTTTTTAATCGGCTCTGTATTAGAATCTCTTATTGCTGTACATGGCTTTCATGGCTTTGCCTCGAACGTCCTTTATTTTCTCTTTTCTTGGTCACAATTCATTCTCCTCATGGAAGGTTCACTGTGGACCTTGCTCGCTGTTCGTGTATTCAGTTGCTCAACCTTCTGAAATTTTTTCACAAGCCTTGAAGAGAACGTAGAAAAAGTAGAACAGCGATGAGTCAGTTGACTATGGAAGATTTTGATTACTACTTGTTTCAAGTGACAGAAATAAACCTGAACTAGTTTTAGTCAAAAGAAAGGAAGGAAGGAAGGGGAAAAGGAATGTACTGGAGGACCATTGGAAGCCAAATGCAGACAGACCTTATTAGGGCCTATGGTTACAAGCAGTAACGAAGGCCCGGAACATTCCCTGTCCCTGCCTTCACTTGCGTCTCTCTTCTCTGGCTGTGTTTGTTTTTGTTCTTGTGTCTGCTCTTTGCTGTTTACAGTTACTGCTCAACAGCTCTTATTCTATTACTGTGTCCTTTGCCCACAAACACAAAGCCGATTAAATGTGTGCTCAATTCTAGTTCCCCAGGAGAGGATCCTGACACACACAGTTTGGGTCACATGGTTGGTCTAGATGTCCCCAAAAGTCTCTTTTAGTTATACAACCAAGTAGGATAGCCAAGTACAGAGTCTGAGTTGGCATTTTCATGTGATATACATGTATCTATATATCTCTTACATATATCACACACACACATAGACACATAGACACACACACACACAGAGACACACACACACTTGCTCTGTTGACCCGGCTGGCCTTGAACTCACAGAGATTCACCTGCCTCTGCCTCCCGAGCGCTGGGATCAAAGGCTACCACCAAGCCATGGTAATTAGTCTTTACAGTACACAATTTCTTCTTGACTGCAGTGTGTGTAAAGTAGGCATGAGACCTCCTGCAGTAATGCAGAGAAGGAAACCTATGGGGGCTCAACTGAGTGCCTGTAACACTCAGGAGCTATGAGCTTGGCATGTGACAGAGTGGTGAGAATCCTGTATGATAGCCATCCATCCGTTCTGTAGGCCACCATCAAGCGTAATTTTGGGACTCTACTCACTAGAATGCTGAGTCCAAGTAACTCCTTATGTAAATCCTATGTAAATTCATTAGGAGTGTGCAAATGATAGAGAAATAACTTATGGAGCATGAGTTTATGGGGTTTGGCTCACAGTCCCAGCCTTTCCTCTTCACAGTGGTCCAAATCTTTACAGTCTCTTGGCAGATGCTCTTTTGTGACCCCTTCTCTATCTAATTGAATCTTTAACTTCCTTTAATGTCTATAAGACCATATGTATTCATTGTATGGCAGGCTGGTGGGTCGCCTATAATTCTGAGAAGGGGTCTTGACACTCTGGCATGCGTGGGCCTCAGTTACGCTGATTCTGACTTCCAGCATCCTGAAACCCTCACTCCCACCTCCACTTTCCACCTTGACACTGGAATGCAGGTGCGCTATTCTTTCTTAGTCTTTGTTAATCTGTTAGGTTTTGTAAGCTTTGCCATGAACACTCCAACATCCTGAATGCAGACTGAATATGTGGAAGATAGGGAGATTTCCCATCAACTGGAGTGATGGAGGAGGGGAGGTGACAGCAAACTCATGTGGGAGGGAATGGACTTTGGTTGGGCATGCCATATTACATCAGACAGCAAATGAAGAAGAAATGGAGCAGGTATAAAGGGGAAGAATGTGGAAGTAAAGAGTTGGGGAATTTGCTTTGGCTCAGAACCTGCAAGACTCTTAATGGTAGGCTCAAATATTTGGACTGGCCTAGTAAGCTATGAAATTGGAGTTTCTTGATCCCTGAAATGTCACAACCAGAGTTGAACTGTAGGTTGTATTTCTAACAGTTGACAGGATGAGTCGAATTGGCAGAGAAACCACTGGGCTGAATAAGAAGCAAGAAATAGACCTGAACGAGGGA